ACATGTATATATGTGTATTCTGATTTATGTATGTTGTTGTATACATGATTAAACTGAAGCATAGTAAAACCTGATTAAAAATATGTATTCAGAAAATCATGAATACATTAATACATAACTTAATACTGAATACATCTAAATACACTGATTAAACATGTATCATTGTACTACATATATACTAAAGAGGTTAAAAACTTTGAATTCTCCCCAACAGCTGTATCATGTTGTATTTAGCCTTCGGGATTATCATGCAAGTTGGCCTCGGGTGATCTTTGAATACCACCATCATGTCTCCCAGTATATTTCTTTCTTTGATATACCATTTCTGTATTCTGATTGGCTTTAACATGTTCAAAAACCTTTCTGAAATTTTTATTGATCAATGATCGTAGAGAAGTGAACTCGCCCATCACCTAATAATTACACAAATAATTAGAAAGGGGTTAGAAAAGATAGGAAAGCAAATACATAAACTGTAAAGATGAATATGCATTAACAATACTTACATAATCCTTGAATGAATTTAGATCCTGCCTCAAGGCAGACAAATCATCAGATTTAGAATCAACTGGCTTCTTAACACTAAATACAATATCCTTGATTTCAATCTTAGCAGTAGGAGGAATCTTGGCTTGAGGTTTTGCGGACACATGTGGTATTGGACTCTTTGCAGTTGAGGGATCAATTAGTTGTTGTTTGCATTTTTTGTGAGGTGGTGATGAAGATGGACCAACACTTGCATCATGTTTCTTCTTCAGCTGAAGAGGCGGTGTAGGACTAAAATCATCAGAATCCTCTTCATTGTTGTTTGTATAAAGAGGACTTTTGTCTACATCAACGCCATCCAGAGGCACATGAATAGCTGCAAGCTCACTAGCGGTTGGTTGAATGTTGTTGTATTTCATCTAAAAATAGAAATACACTCAATGTAAATCATATTTGCTGTATGATTACTAATATACCGTTCTTTATGTATATGGGCAATTATGTATATACATGTATTCAATTGTATTGTATAAAATATTTACAACAATGAATTAAATGTGTAGCTGTAAAATGTATTATGTATTCTAATATATTCATATTATTTGTAAAAACATGGACATAAATGTATGATGTATTCAATTGTATTTATCATTTAATTTTAACAATGTTTTTAATAACAGAAATATATGTTGAATAAAATATTAGTCAATTAAATAATAATAAATTACCACATTTCCTTGGTCGTTGAACATGCCGTTCATCAAGTAAGCATAAGTTGGTTGGTTGTCCGTGGATTTCCAATTGAGTATTATGGGAATTCGGTTATCAACTCAGAGTGTAATTTTGGGATCGGCCTTTGAACAACACTCGTACAACCATACTTGCATAGCAAGAGGCATCCCACGTATCCTATAATACTTCTTCTGGGAATCCATCTTCTTGCTTATAGATTTAAGAAGGGTCTGGAATGCCTCCTTACCCCATGGGTAATCAGAATATTTGCCGCTCTCGACCAAGTCAAAATGTAGTCTTGGGATAGTTGTGCAGTTCTTCTCAATGGATAATATGAATGTATGTATGAAATACAACACAACTATTTTAATGGCATCTCTATCGTTGTCAAAACCCCAATTCTTGTCATCAAAGTATTTCAACAAATCACTCTTCTTGACAGTCTTTGCACCGCCAAAGTATGTATCCATAATCTTGTTTGGCATCTTTGTGTTAAACTCAAAATCTTCAGCGTCACTAACACAATTGAGACCAGTAACTACCACAAACTCCCTGATTGAGAAGCATAATATTGTACCATTCACATGTATTAAAAATGAATCAATAGGACTTTCTTCCAGCTACAAAACCATGAAGCACCTAAACAATTGATGTTGAACCTTACAGTGCTTCATATCGAGGAAACCTCCAAAAATAAGTAGTACCAAATAATTTGTACTGATCTGGAGTAAGATTTTCTTTGAGGTTGGAGATTATGTCGGTATTAGTGTAGGAACTGATATGCGATAATAAAATAGGCGGGTATTTAACAAAGAGTTTTATTTCCTGCATACAAAAAATAATTAAAAAAATAAAATATATAGTTAAAAATATAGATGAATACAGTTAGGTTGAATACATAACTCATTCATGAATACAACATAATGCACTGATAATTACCACAACAAATATGAGTTATGGCAATGACTGTTGTTTAAAATACAGATAAATACAGTTAGGTGGAATACATAACTAATACAGAACAATCGGTACATTTAAAAATGTTGTTGAATGAACTAAAATACATATAAATACATTCTAAATACAACAATCAAAAATTACTATACAAAATAGAAATCAGTGTAGGCCACATCGAATACATATAAATACATCTAAATACAAGAAGAGACAACCACTGTACAAGCTAATAATCAATGTATGCGGACTCGAATACATATAAATACATCTACAATTACCTTGTCGTTCTGTGTTTCCAAGCTAGTTCTTTTAGCGACCTCTTTTTCCTTACTCCCTGAAGCATCATCCATAAGTTTTCTTCTCTTTTTCACATGAGGAAGTGTTGATTTTTTCGAAGATTTCTCAACTTGACCTTGTTTCATATGGTTATTGCGTATTTTTGTTCTCCTTTCTGCTTCAGTGGTTGCTGATGAACCTGCAAATACAGGTTCCGCTTGAGTGATTTGTAAATCGAAAGATGGCCCATCGAAATTGAGTGCTTTAGTGGGTATACCTCGGATAACCCTCTTCGGAGTTGTTGAATCAGCCATTGAGAAATTTCAAGTTTTCTGGTGAAAACATAACAATGGTGAATATTTAAAAAATAATAAGTGAAGAGAAAAAGAAGAAGCTTTAATCGGCCAAAAATCCAAAAACTTTAACACTTACCACAACTTTTTGGAGAAAAAAATTGAAAATTGAGGGAGACAATGGCGATGTGAGAGAATCATGGTTCAACAATGGGGAAGACAATGGCGTTGTGAGAGAGAGATCGTGAAGAGAGAAATAAGATACTATGCGGTGATTTTGGGAGAGAATAACTGAAAGAATGAGAGAGAAAAATATTAGACAACGTATTTAATGGCTTAACGGTGGTGTATACCATAAATACATATTTTGCTACAAAAACTAAAAGGTAGCTATTAAAAATAATATTTTAAAAGAGATTTTATTTATAATAAATAAGGTGTAAAACTTTGCTATAAGAGGTAAAATTTCATAAACCAAATGCTAGAGCTATTAGAGAAAGATGTGGATCCATTGGGCCTATGAACCTGGGCCGTCCAAATTGAGTATAGGAAGCCCAAGTTCTACCTTCAAGCCCAAACATAAAAGAAAATAAAAAAACAATTTTCAGTAAATCCCTCCTCCTCCGTTTCTTGCTCATCATTCCCTTTATATTTGTTCATTCCCTTTATATTTGTTGCGGAAAAGGTCCATTATTATTCTTAAACTATTGGATATAGCTCAATTTTGTTCTCCGTTAGCAAACTGGGCCATTAATATCCCTCACGTTAGCAAACTAGACCAACAATGCCTTCATTTTAACGGTTGTCCACATAAGCCTTCTCAAAGGCATTAATCAGCTGACATGGCATCCATATAAGCGGATCTCTTAAGCATATTCAAATACCCCATTAGCCCGTAAAAGAAAATACACAATTCTCAATCAAATATAGGATTAAAAAGGGAAAAAAACCCAAAAATGACCTTATGGTATTCGAAATGGATCAATTATAACTTCCGTTTAAACTTGAGTCCAAAAATGATCATGCTGTTATAGAATGAGTCTAATAATGCCCTTGTATTATTCGAAATGGATCAATTATAACCCTCGTTCAAATATGAGCCCACTAATGACCTCGCCGTTAAATAATGGGTCTAATACTGCTATTTTCCTCAATTAGTAATGATTAGGGGTGTAAATGAATATTTAAAAATCGACTAAATCAACAGAACCGTATCATGCCGAACTGATTTTTAGGTTTCTTTTAATAAAACCGAAGGTTTTTATATAAATCTATAATTGTACCGATAATTAGGGTAGGTTTTTTATTTTATAAAAATAAACCGAAAAAAATCGAACTGTACCGAATAAATTTACATGTGAAACATATATTTATATATTAAGTTTAAAAATAATAATGTATTAAAATTTATACATTATTTATATTAATACATTATTATTTATAAATATAAATCTTAGACCCCATTCTTTAACGGAAAGGTCATTAGTGAGCTCAAATTTTAAACTTATTCGACCCATTCTTTATAAATATTAGACCCATTATCATTTTTAAACTTAATAAATAAATATCGAACCGTACCGAATAAATTTACATGTGAAATATATATTTATACTGGGCCTAATAATAGGTCCGATATATTTACATGTGAAACTTTTATTCACATGTAAATTTATTCGGTACGGTTCAATATTTTTTCGATTTATTTTTATAAAATAAAAAATCTACTATAATTATCAGTACAATTATAGGTTTATATATAATCCTACGGTTTTATTAAAAGAAACCTAAAAATCGGTTCAGCACGGTACAGTTCTGTCAGTTTAGTCGATTTTTAAATATCCATTTACACCCCTAATCATTACTAACCGAGGGAAATAGCAGTATTAGACTCATTCTTTAACGGCAGGGTCATTAGTTGGCTCAAATTTAAATGAGGGTTATAATTGATCAATTTCGAATAACACAAGGGCATTATTAGATCCATTCTATAACGGCAGGGTTATTTGTGGATTCAAATTTAAACGGGATTATAATTGATCCATTTCAAAGACCACAAGATAATTTTTGGGCCTTTTCCCATTAAAAAACATAAAAGGTCGATGAGATAAAGATAGCATATTTTACCCATAAAAAAATAACCGATTATCAATCAAATATAGTTTATCTACATTGGGCTAAAGTTGATAAATCATTTGTAGACTAAAGTAATAGCTTTTTGTCAAGGTACGTGACCTACATCTTTATCTTCTTTTACCTTCATCTTTATCTACACTTTTGTCAATAGTTTTATGCTATATATAAAGTTTTGTCGAGACCCTACCGAAAGCAATTAGCTTTTTCTTTTCGTGTGGTATCTTTAATATAGTGCTAGACACACTGTAATAGATGGATTTGTGTTTGCTTTTGTCTTTCCCAACTCCATGGAGATTGCTGGATTTTTGTTAGACACTGTCATTTCGTCGAGCACCTTGTGTCCCAGGTAAAGCGGTGATCTTTAGAGTCTAGCTGATGATACCCCTGGCCAGATGACGTCTTGGTTATGTTCCCCACATCACTAGGAATCGATTTGCACTGATTTTGGTGCAACTGGATAGCTGATACTCCCTTTCCATTCAGGTCTGCGACGGCGCCGATTTGCAGAAAATTGGAGATTCCTACGGTTGAATTGTGTGAATTTCGGTGAAGATGTGTGTTGAATGACGGAGATGTACTGGTTTTATGGGTATGGCTCGTCTCTCCCACAGCTTGAAGCAGGGGAGAGGGCAGCGCATCCATGGCAGCCTATTCTACAACATGTCACCCTAGAGAGAGGACAGAGCGTTTAGTGTTTGAAAAACGAGGGTTTGGAGTTTTTTTGCAGATCTTTTACTTTTTTAATCTTATATTTGATTGATAACTGGGTATTTGTTTTATGGGCTAATGGGTTATTGGAGCAGGCTTGAGAGAGTTCTGCTTATGTGGATGCCATGTCAGCTAATTAATGCCTTTGAGAAGGCTTATGTGGACAGCCGTTAAAATGAAGGTATTATTGGTCCAGTTTGCTAACGTGAGGGACATTAATGGCCCAGTTTGCTAACGGACGACAAAATTGAGCTATATCCAATAGTTTAAGTATATTATTGGACCTTTTCCGATATTTGTTGATGTCTTCCAAATATTAAAACAGTGACAAAGAAAGAAAGAATGTCGAATAATGAGCTGTAATGGCAGAAAAATCGTAGCTTTCATCAAATCTGGAACATCAGTTCACATCCCAGACGCCTTAAATCTTGCTCACAAACTCTCTCGATAAAATTTTGTAAGTTTTTTTTTAGTTTCTTTTGAAAATTGAATCCAATTAATTCTTTTTGCTATGTTGTTAATTCCATAAGCGTCCTTCTTGGACATTGTATATGTTAGTGGATGACCTTTTATATGCGTTAGTAAAGCACAGTGCTAAAAAGAAATCTACGCTGAAGAAATTGGCATAAATTGTTCTTGTGTTTCACTTTATCAGAGAGATCGATTCCTCCTGAAGTCTTATTTGACTTATTATATTTAAGAACCTATTAAAAGTCAAATCATTAGGAGAGTATTTAGTTTGTGTTGCTATTCTAGTTAGAGAAAACCAAAGTGCAATACTTTTCTTTTCCAAAGTATCAGTTCATCTCGAACTAATGAATAAATAGCAGATGCAATAGTGTTCCTAAATTGTAGTACCTGTTATTTTGGGAATTTTGACAGTTGTGGTTGCCACCTTGCCTTCTTGTAGCTTTTTGGTTTATTCTTTTATATGTTCTACATCGTTCATGAGTCTGAGCATTTTGGATCATTGTGAATGCTCTGAGTTTTCGAGCCAATCCTCAAATATAGGTCCCTTAATAGTTTGCTTTTAGAAGTTGTCTCATAATTTAAATTATATCTCCGTATGCAACTCTAATACTTTATCCACTTCTTTATAGTCTTGGAGTCAGCAGCTAATTCTAGGAATCGGTGTACATTTGGGGAATAAACAGCTCTTGTAGTTAGAAACCAATTCTAGATGGACGAGCCTGGTCCATTGGAGCTTCTGAATCAATTAGAGGGCATATTGGGGTCCGATCCTCTGATGTAAGTCTCACCCTCTCTGTATATGGACGCAATTATAATGGTTATTTAAATGATAATATTCCATTATTTTGTTTTCCTTTTCTGTTTGTTTGAATCAATAATCAATAAGACCATTGTTGGAGTGTTTACTGTAGCGTCGTATGAACCTAGCTAGTGGAGTGACGTAAGTTTTGAAGAACTGTCTCATGACCTTCCAACAATAGTCCAACAATGAAGCCCATGAGCCATCTGAGCGTGATAAAGGAACCGTTTGTTTGGAGCTGTGGATTTCTAGGCTATACAAACATTTTCATACATTAGAGTACCTTTGTTGTACTATCACATCTTTTTGAAACCCAATGCAATCGTTTCTTTATTTTTGAATCCCTTAAATCATTTCAACTTGTACATTTGGATTGGATGTCATTGCTTAAACGTAGTATTACTAATTTTCCACTTCTCAAGGAAGCCTTATTGTTTACAAATCATAAGAAGGAACTCCCATTCTTTTGAATCTTAAGATATCTCTATTTCAGAACGTTCTCTAAAAGTCAATGTAATTTCAGCTGAGATGATAAACTTTTATTCTCGTACTCTTCTCCCTAGCATTTTTCACCTATCCACTTATTTCTTATTTTTAATCTTATTGAGATGTTGAGTTGAGGAGTGATGCTGTCATTAGCAATCTGACATGCATCTCCTGTGTCCAGAGATGAAATAGGGTTCATTCACCCATCCCAGTTTGCTGCACTGAATGAAGATATTGGGACTCCTTCAACATCTGTTGGTTCTGTGCCAAATTCAAGTTTTGAGACAATTTTCTGGGCTAGGGATCACAAGCTGGGCATCTCAACTAGGGTTCTCTTTCCACTTTATGTTGCGGCTAAAAGTGCATTTGCGGATGCATATAAAAATTATAAAGTGCACCATAGCATTTACAATGAGAGAGATGATAAAAATTCTTCAACCTGTCCCTCATCTTCTCCACTTAGTCTCGAAAGTGAACTGATGAAGCACAGCAGGGCACTTTTGCTTCTAAGTAGTGATTTTGGCACAGCGTGGAATTCCAGGTTTGTTTTGAGCACATAAAAATTTTGTTTTTTAATTTCATTATAAATGGTAGCAGCTGTCACTAGCTTTTTGACCAGATACATACCTTTTATGGATATCTATCTTGACAATTTAGCTCTGGAGCAGAATGTAATGTTTTTAATCTAAAGAGCAATACAAGACTTCCATAAAAGCGATAATGGAAATGGCGAAATTTAATGGTTGGACTATATTTTTTTTTTTTTTATCAAAAAGCGAAATTTAATGGTTAACTCCTAGAGCTATGGTGTCTGGGTAACATCCTTAATGAAGTCTTTCTTTTGTGAGTTAAAGCGCATGATTTATATCGGGAAAAAGATCAGTAGAAACTTTAATCCTGACCATATAAAGTTTTTTCCCCAGGAAGCTAGTTCTGTCAAAGAAGCAATCTCTTTCCATGTTCATGAATGAGCTTATCTTTTCATCTGCGGTTCTCTCGCATTCACCTAAAAGTGAACAAACATGGAGCCAAAGGTAACATACCTCTCTTCTCATATGTAATTCTTTTTAATTATTGTTTTTGTGTCCATTCTGTTACATGGATGTACCTTTCAATTCACTCTCTCTTTCTCTCTCTGGTCGCTTAAGATTCATTTTTCTCATATCGAACTTTGAAACCCTGTTTACTATAAGCTCATGCGTTGGATGTTAAAGATGAGGCATGGTAATGGCACAGTGACAAATTGGCATATCTGCGCTCTCGAATCCCCTTTCTTGGGCTTATGATTTTTGGGGCATGTTTTTTTTTT